ATAATATATCTACAAGAATGAGAGAGATTGGTTATGTGTAAGTATGGAATGTTGACTGTAAGTGAATGAGACTATCCAGCTGAGTATTGACTTGATGCTTTTCCAAAAACATTTAATAATTATCATCACAGTTATATGAACATAAACATGCATAGGATTTCAGTCATTATAAGTCGTATCTCATAGCTCAAGAAATATTTTGGAGAATGTGCATAATATAAATCGGGAGATCGAAAGATTCCAAAGATTTGAGAAAACATAATAACATGACTTAAACCTGAGGAGGCGTGCATGATAAATGCTAACTCTTAAGTAAGTTATGTCAAGGAAAAACTGGTCAAGGAGAAAACGCCTGTGAGCTGGATGAAGACACCAGCTCCACATAAAAGCCTCCAGGGTGGAGTTGCCAGGCAGCTGACCTGAAGGGCCCCGTGGGCGCTGAGTCATGCAGGAAGGCAGGATGCGGAAGGCAGCACCTGAGGGCTGCAGAGCTCTCCTTTATGCTGTTCTGGTAAATTACATTTTGCTTTTTCTTCTATATAGTCAAGTGGCTTATTTTCTTAAATCAATTGTTGTCTCCTCTCTAGGTTCATTATTCCATCCAGGACAATGATAAATGTTTTATAATGGCATGAGGTTTAAAAAGCAAAAGCTTAATGTCATCTAAAGCAGGTGCACTGGTGCTGAGGAAGACCAGCACTTACCCATCTTGTCAAAACTAACCCGATTCCTGACTTGGAGCAAAGAAAGCTCACAGCCCTTGTTAGCACTGTGATGAAAAAGGTGGTCCTGGGAAGCTGTGCGAAGGTTTAACGGAGAGCTGGGATCAACCCTGTCCTCAGGCTGGCCGATGCAGGCGTAAAGCCTCTGCCCTCTGGCTGATCTGACCCAGTCTCCTTTCTATTAAGTAATCATACTTTGCAGACAGTGCAAACTGACAGGGAAAGCCACACGGAGGTGTCCAGTGAAAGTGACCCTCCCAGGGAGATCCACTCGCCCAACTTCTCCACCAGGTTTCTCTTATACTCTGAATTGTTTAAAGTAAGTAATCCAAGCTGTTTCTGGAGAGCCACACAAAATGGGGGTGAGCAGGCACACTGATCTCAGATCATCGACGACCACTCTAAGAACCTCCACAAATGGCTGCTCACACCATCGCCTCAGCAGGACGAATGTCCTCCTGTCTACAGGACCAGGTGGACAACGTCACGTGTTGTGATGTGTGAGCCTCACCACCTCTTTAGGTTGACAGAGCAGTGATCCAACCTCTACTTTATAGGTGGGAGGTCCCTGTCCAGCTGTGATCTACGGTACGACAGCTTAATAGAAGAGAAACTAGGACGGGTAAATTAGTACAAGGGTTCACAAAATGTTCGCCCGTGCTTAGTGCCAAGTCACTTGGTTTCCAGAGTAAATTATAAATATATCTGTGGATATATATTTCTATCTATATATTTTTCCGAGTGCTAGGACTCAAACCACAGCCTTGTGCAGGATCGGCAAGAACTCTACCACTCCTAGCACTCATCTATACCCCAAACTCACAATAAAAATATTTTAAGAATTAGGGTCATGGGCCTTTTTCCTTTGGAATGTGGACTGATACAGTTTCAATTAACAAGCAAAAACAAGTGAGCCAAGCTACAAATAAAAAAGCATGAAATGACATACCGTATCTTTCAAAAACTGAAATCACTGCAATCTGAGATTAATATTAAGTTTACATTATGATGGCAATTTGTCACGTTTACTTCAACTAATTATATTTTTCCCTGAAATAATACTTAAATAACTGTTATTAACTGCTTGTTTTATATAAAATATTATATTAATACTATTTTAAGTATATATAACTTAACTCATATATTATATATTCCTAATTATTTTCTTTTATATGCTGAACACTCATATACAGTCATACAAATAGTCACAGATATGTATGGTATAATCAGAATTACACGTCATGTCATCATATGTATATGTTATAAACCCAAACACATATGGCTTTGTATGACACAGTTTTGTTTTTCAGTGCCATTCCTATTTATTCATATTATCCAAACTTAATTTAATATGAAAAATGATTCATGATGCAAATTCATGATGGAAATTCACCCATGAAGATGAAAAAATGTATAATTTCATAAATAACCTTGCTTAAAAATAGCATACAATATTGCACTGACTTATTTCTACTTTGATGTATTCTATTTCCAGGAAGTATAAGTACAGGGTTAATGTCATAAAGTAGAAATCAAAGTGATTAAACTGAATAGCTATGTCAAGCCAAAAAATGTTCTCTTCTTGAGTGACAGACTCGCTTGGTAGTAATCCTTTCTCAAACCCACCTGTATCTCAAGGGAATTCTGAGATTAAAATTTAGTTTAAAACTTGGTTAAGAAATGTCTCAAATTCCTTAAAGAAAAGATCTAAAGTAAATGTGAAGAAATTATGATTAAAATCAGTCAAAGTAAGAGAGTTCACACAGGGTTGCTTTATTAGGCCAGAAAAGCAAAGTTTTTTGTATTATATTCACGAGTTTTTTTTTTTCTGTCTCATTTTTAGAAAGTATTTTATATATATCCCTGCATGCTCACATATACCTCATCAACATCTAAAAACCTGTTTTGTATACAACATCAAATAAAATTTCACATAAGGATGTTCACAGGATTCTTTCCATATATTACTCTCAATAAACAAATTCATCATCATTTTAAAAACTGAAAAGGTTATGGTAATATACCTACATCTAAAGTGGGAAGTATTCCATTATGTTGTGGCAGGGCTTGTTCCCATGGCAACTCCTTCATTCATCATATTGGTGACCAAGAATAACAGTTCTGGAGGGTTTGGAAATCACCTAATTGAATGATCTCCTTGTTCCACTGGAAACTGAGGCCCGGGCCCTCTGACTAGTGACTCAGCCCGTCAGGATCACACAGGAAGTACGAGCCGGGTATCTGACTCCCACCCAGTGCGTGTTCAAGACACTCTGCTGCCTCTTACTGTTCTAGCCAACTGACACTAAAGTCACACACATATATGCACACACACACGCACAAAAGGCATTCTACTGATACACATGTATAAACATGAGCATGCCTACATGCTTGTTTGAATCAAGCTATTTTAAGAATTAAACTGTATTTATGATTTTTCAGTGTTATAAATACAAATATGGTTGTCTTTTTGACAGCACACCAAAACAATTTTTTAAACAAGGAAAAAGTGAGTATTAAACCATGATCTTTTGTCTCCAGGTCTCAAAATGCAAGAAGCTGTAATATTTTAAACAATAAATTTTAAAGATATAAAGAAAATCTTTAACCAGTGATATTCAGAAAACTTATTTCTCAGGTTCAATTCACTGACCCTGTAAGAGTAAGAAACAGAACACACTATACTAAAAGGTAGTCCTTCTAGCTAATCTAATTTTTGTCTGTAAATAACAGTCTACAGTTTAGATCTGTGTTGCCCAAAGCAGCTTCTGTTGAGCCTGGCAGTGTGACTGGTTAGACTGAAATTTACTGGACATGTAAAATACACAGCAAATTTCAAAGACTTAGTGCTCTTCTCAAAAAACAATGTAAAACTCAATTTTACAGTACATGTTGAAATGACATTTATTTAGCATTAAGTATATTATTGAAATTAGTGTTAATGATTTTTTCAATGTCATTTCTCATTTCCAAACCCCAGGAAACTACATACTCAGCTGTGGGCTGTCCTGGAACCATTTTCGGGTCACTTTCATCAGGAAATGAATTCTCTCCTCTTACCTTCAGTAACATTTTTCTTCTTATCCAACCCAACCTCTCCGAACATTATCACCTGTGTACACTACCAGTGAGTGTGGTCTCTGGTTTATGTGTTTGTCAGCTGCAAAGCAATCAGTAAGCAGCTTCACTAAAACATCAGGAGTTTTTTGTTAGACAAGTAAGTGGACAACCTTATACGTAGTAAATTTATTCTCTATGCATTTTCTGTCAGGCAAACTTGTCTGGAAAAAGGAGACCCTTAGAAGTAGCTGGGGCTTAGCAGGAAGATACGTACCAGCTGACTCTCAGACACTGTAGAGGACGCCGAGGAGAGATTCGCCTGCAAAGTGCAAACATGGTACATATTTAGTGAAACAAATGATTTGGAAAAATAATACTCCTATATTCTCAAGTATTTGAGGCTATTTTATTATTGAAGCGATACATGTCCATTGTAGGATTTTGTAAAGCAAAATGGGAAAGAAGGCACCAAGAAATAATTTTTAGCAGTTGGGTCCGCTGCCCTGTAATACTCTCCCACGCATTCACTCAGCACAGTATGAACCAATACCACGTCTTACATACTGCCTTTCCTTCTCATCTTCTTCATGGAAGCATTATCACATAGCATCCAAAATGTTCAAGGTTACCTATTTCATTTTTTGTATACTCCAGGTTACTGAAATATAACAACAGTATTGATATGTATTACTGTTTGTGTCCAGATGTCCCCCCAAATCCTCATGCAGTCATGGGGGGAGCTTTTAGCGTTTATGATTGATTCATGGTGTGACTGTTACACCCACCCTGGGGTGGGCAGCCTGAATACAGCGTAAGGGAGGGAAAGAAGCCGCTTGCCACCACTCCTCCCTCTTGCTCTTGCTGCTTTTGCTGTTTTCCACTGCCATGAACTGTTGCCCTCTGTCATGTGCCACTCTGCCTTGGAGCCACCAAGTATGGACTGAAACCTCCACAGACTGTGAGCTAAATAAACCTTTCTTTCCTTAATTCTGGGAATCAGGTATTTTGTCTCAGTAACGAGAGAAAAGTAACCAAGACAATAGCTATATTTATTTACAACAAACTTTCAAAAAACAAATTTTTAAAGTATCTTTTCATAAAAAGCATGAGAACATTTTTACGACTTGGGAATGGTAATGATTTGGTCATAATATTATTTAGATGAAGGAGCAAGTTAGAACTGTTTCTTCATCATTGGTTCTTATATTTCACATCTTTCATCAGAATTTAAATTTCCTCTAAAAATTTTAATTTCTATGATAAGACATCTCTCTTAATAAATTTTTGGTGTTAAATATAGTATTCTTTGCTACAGGTACACGGTTGTGCAACAGGTATCAAGAACTTTGCCGAAGTGCTTAACTGAAAAGTTTTGCCTATTGATTAGTGCCTGCCCGGTTCTACCATCCCACAGCTCCCTTCCTCCTGATGTAAACACCATGAGAGTGCTCAAATCCTACTATCCTGGATTTGTCTGAAATGTTTTATTTTGTCCTGGCTCCTGAATACTGGTTCAAGTAGATGCAGAATTCTAAGCCAATAGTATCTTTCAGGCTTTTGAAGACACTATTCTTCAGGCTCAGGCTTCTGCTGCTGCTGTCACTCGCAAAGCCATGGGTGACTGGGTGGGTTGCCTGTCTGCACCTGTGGTTATCACTCAGTAGTTTTCTTCATGACACTTTTAAATTTCACTACAATGCACCTGACATGGTTACTGGAGGCCGGGGAGGTGGGCAGAGGGGACCAAAGGAAAAGGAGGCGATGTTGATGAAAACCACAAAGTTTCAGTTAGGCTGGAGGGAGAAGTCGTAGTGACCTCCTGCACTGCATGGTGACAGTAATTAATAAAAATATACTGCATGCCTCAAAATTACTAAAGTAGATTTTAACATTCCTATCACCAAAAATGGCAAACTGGTAAAGCAATGGGTGTGTTAATGAGCTTCGCCGAATCTTTCTATAACATTCATACAGAGCAAACATCATATTGCACCCCAGGCACACTTGTCAAATAAAAATAAATAGAAATTAATTTTTTAGAAGCTGATAGGACAGTGAAAAACTATGAACATCAAAATTTCTAACTTCAGAGAAAATTTGTTAAAGACTTAGGTCATATCGGGACTAAAGGTTAAAGACTGAGGAGAGAAGTGAGGGTTTGAAACTCATAGAAAAATAAATTATGACAAGGGCTCAGGAGACACTTCCAGCTCCCGGAGACCGAGCGCCAGAGGCACACAGAGAGCGGGCCCCACGCCTCGGTCCCTGTCTAACACTGCATTCCTCACAACGCACTTGTAACAAACTGCAGTGGGGTAACAAGGATGGAGCCCGAAGGGCGTCTCCTGCAGCCTCTTCCCTTCCTCCTCACTTGCAGAGCACAGGTGCTTGTCTTCCATGCCCCGCCCCTTTCTTCACACGCACACTTCAGAGGTATTTCTGAGCAAGTAAGAAGAGTAACAGATGAGAATGGTTGCTAGAGTGCAATTTATTACAGAACCTGTGTGCACCGTCCCTGTAACTCATCTGTGGCCTTCGAGTTCATCTAGGATCTCTTCTGTGCCCGTGTCACTGCCTGATCACTCCAGCATAGCAACGCTGCTCGGCATAGCAACAAGGAGAATGTGGGAACTGGCTACACTGGAGACCGTGACCTTTATCTTAGTATTTGTATGCGTAGTGGGAAACATCCTTAATAAAGTTGGACACATTTTTCAATATATTATGATATTTTGAAAGCAATATACTTCACTATAATGACATTTTCTGTCCCTCAAGTTCATCAAATGAGATCTAATGTGTACAGTACCTAATACTGAATAAGCTTGTCTCATTTATTTCCCTGGCACTTAAAAGTAATTCTTGAAATGTAGACAGTTTTGAAGTAAGGTGTTATCAATAGAATGTGATTCCAATCAACAGTTTTTGATAAGTTAGTAATAGACGCAAATACATGCTTCACTTTCCAATGTTGTTCTTTATTAAGAAAGCATATGTGATTTTGAATTATATGAATGAAATAAATTTATACTGGAAGCAGTTAATAAAAACAATAAAAATTTACAAAGGTAAGTATAATGCAAAGAAAAACATTCCCTTCCAATGCAAACAGAGTTAAAATAGAAGGAAATGAAAAATTTCACAGAAATACATTCTTTTACAAGGGAAAAACTATTCAAAATGAGCATCAATGAGAAATAATTGCTCATACATCACCTGACAAATTATGAGCTCACTTACATATAACGGAGAGATTGAATATCTTGGAAACAGTAAAGCACTATCATTTTAATGTTAATGTGATCAGGTATTAAATTATTCATTCCAAGTTTACACTAAAGTTTATCAGGGATTAAGATACACTTTAGACCAAGAGTGCAAATGGATCAAACTGTAGTATCTATATGTACATATACATACTGATGGCAGAGGTTTTGACGGAAAGCAGATCTGGGTTGGAACTTGCCTACTCTCTGACTTCTGAGACTTGTTTTCTCCCTGTATGAAGTAGACTTTTATAATATAGCACCCATCTCCTAGCAGTGTGACTTAAGTAAGATAATTAAGATTTATTTGCAAGTTAAGGGTTCAAAACACTAGTTATTATTATTGAACAAAGTACCTCTTTAAAAAGATAAAGTGCATAGCAAGATCCAGTTTCAAAAAACAAAATGAAAATTAAAAGGTGAACTGAAATACTTAGTCAACTCTGCAAGTGACAGTAGCCACCAACTCCACATGAACCTAACGCCATTTCCCTTACACCTAAGAGCATCTCAATTAGACTATTTTAAAAGAGCCTGCAACGTAAGCATAGTAGAAGTGGAGGAAAATCTTGCCTTTAGCTAGTCCAAACCCATGGTACTTCTACTGGCCCTGGCTTATCCGAAAACAAACTGAACTATCACAGTACGTTCCACAGAGCACTAAAGAAACATTTTTCACTGATTTGCTTTCCTTTTTTCCTTTTTTCTTTCTTTGAGGCAAATAATCCTTCACCAAAGGCCCATAGAAAGGAATTCATCAACAATTTCTTTTTAATTAACCCGTCCCAGACACACAGGAAATCTACTGATACACTGAAAATTAACGCCTTTGTTTTACCATCAGTCAGTTCTCTGCTGAGCTCTCCTCTGTTTCTACAACATCTTGCTCGTTTACCATTTAATTATTTACTGTCTGTCTCCTCTCTTGGCATGTGTGCTTCTGACTAGAAACCTCAGCTCTGTCTCACACCTCCCACCCCGGAGACTCAAAGACTGGTATGGACACTCCACAAATACGTGTTGAGTTGGGGAACAAAATCGGGTAACTGAAAAGCACAGCCAGAGAACGCTGACTAGTTCTCCTAGTAACAACCCATGCCGCACACGTGAAACGCTTTCTGAGCCTCAGGCTTTGGGGCTGGCACTGCCGACCTCTCAGGCTCTCCTCAAGTGTGCCAGCTCGCTTTCTGCGCTTTAATTTGCCCAGCCTCCTCTGCGTCCCTGGAGCCGGCAGACTGCGCGAGCTCTGCTTCTGAACCTAACCTGAGAATCTCTGCAAAGGCCATGACACACCGAGTCTCCACAGGCGCACACTCAAAGACGTCTTCTTCCTCCCAAGTTGTGAAGAGCGTCGATGAAATGCTAAAATCTGTAAGTCCACAGACTTTTCAGATTTGCTTTTCAGTTTGCGTGGGAGAAAGGAGAAAAATACTGTGAGAAATTAAGTGAAAACTGTTCAACTCATACTAAAGGTGGAACAGCATCCTGTAGCTCAGCTAATGTAAAATTTCTAAGAAACTTTAAAATGTTGTCTTGGTTACTTTTCTCTCGTTGCTGGGAGAAAGTACTTGATGCCCAAAATTAAGGAAGGAAAGGTTTATTTTGCTTACAGTTTGTGGAGTTTTCAGTCCATACTTGGCAGGTTACAAGGCAGAGTGGCACATGGCAGAGGGCAACAGCTCAGGGCAGCAGAACACAGCAAAAACAACAAGCACAAAAGGGAGGCCACAAGCAGCCTCTTCCTCTCCCTTACATATGCAAACTATCCACCCCAGGGCTGGTGCAGCTCTCACACCCATAATCAGTCAAACTCTAAAAGCCTGCCCCATGGCCGCATGAGGCTTTGGGGGGACACACAGACACAAACCATGACAAATGTCCTTTTCTAAAAATCAGGACATACTGTATTTAAGACAGATGGTTCACATAAGATCAAAACCTATAGTGAAAGTGAACATCTATTCTAAAATTTCATTTTTTCTTCTCAAAATAAGTGTATTGTTTGTCTCAAAAGAAATGTATCAGTGAGTATTTAGTAAACGTAATAAGCAAGTGCTTCCAAGTGTGTTATCTGAGTTGGCACCAAAAAACACGAGGGTCCATAAACAGAGCAAGAGCCAAAATGTCAAGGAATAAGAGAAAGTAAAAACCCAAAGTTTCTCACTCAGGGAGCAGAACTTAATTAAGGTCAAGAATATTATCTGAATCAGAGTTTATGTTTGTTCTAGTCTATACTGAACAATGATGATTCAGAATGAACTTGGAATGATCCAAGTGCTCTTACAAAAGTCATGGGTTGAAAAGTTAACCTATTTTTATTAAGTCTGATATTTGATTGAAAAGAGAATAATTTGAAATCATCTTCAGCTGTAGAGATCAAAGCCCCCCTCTAGAACTATTCCAGTTGCTATCAAATTGAGAGTCCCCAAGGAAGACGGGTAGGAGCAAGGGCCCTTCTGAACTTACTGAAAATTAGAGTCATCAGAGGCACTTTGCTAAGTGATAGCAGTAGATGAGAAAAGAAGGGAGAAACCAGAACATTCTAGCTGCTTTTTTTGGGTCTGGCCCTTGGATCTATAGGGTGGATTAGTCATGAAAAATTGTAGAGACATTTTTAAAGAATTTTCTCTTCTTGCATCCACTAAAGCAACAAGCAACTCAAATTGTGACTCTTCTAGATGGACTGGGGAAACAGGAAGGAGAAAGTTTGAACAGAAGTAAAAGTAAAGGAAATGGGAAAATAGGAGGAACTATTATTTACTGAGCAATTCCTGTGTGTCAGAACACATTAAGGGCTTTTCAGGCAGTGACTAACACTAATCTTACATAAACCAAGTAAGAAAATTAGCATCATCATTTATACTTGAAAAATAAAGGCACAGCAAGGTATAATATATGATTTTCCCAGGGCCACGCAGTTATCTAGAAGCGCCACTGCAATTTAAACTTGGATCTAGTCTACCAAATGCCGCTACTCCTTTTAAGTATTACTCCAAAGGGCTTCCAATAATAATGAAAAATAACAGTGAAAGCTTCCAGGAAATGCTCTGAGCAGCGTTCCTGCCCCCATCCTGTAAGCATGACTTCCTGAATGTGATAAAATTTAGTAATTTTTCTGTGTTCATTATTTGCCTTAGGGAAATTCAAGTGAAGGCAGAAATGTATAAACTGCAGCGATAATACGGCAAAAAATACACATATAATAACTACTTGTTCTTGACGACAATAACAAAAACTACAGATTAGAAAAAATAATGTGTAGTTTGAAAGGAATAAACTACCAATTTGTTTCAGACTGAAAACCAAACTGAACTTTAATAATTCAGAATGAACTTGGAATGACTCAAATGCTCTCACAAAAGTTATGGGTTGAAAAGTTAACCTAATTTTATTAAGTCTGATATTTGATTGAAAAGAAAATAATTTGAAATTATCTTCAACTGTAGAGATCAAAGCCTCCCTCTAGAACTATTCCAGTTGATATCAAATTGAAAGTCCCCAAGGAAGAGGGGGTAGGAGCAAGGGCCCTTCTGAACCTACTGAAAAGGAGGGTAATCAGAGGCACCTTGCTAAGTGACTGCTGAGGAAACAATCTTGTTTCCAGTAAAATGTGTTTGGTCCCTGTATAGACCCCTTTCCATTTATGGAGACACCAATAATGGAATGACTGTGCAAGTGAGTCCACTCAACCACCCACAAAAGAACAGTATGTGTAATTATAAGGTACTTACATACTTCGTTTCTCGACCAGCCGCTCTTGGAAGAGATGGAGGAGTCTGTATGAAAATAAAAGTAATTATACTTCTAAAAAAATCAGTAAATAAAAGGAAATTCAGCTTCTAGCGTAAGTTCATCTTTTTTTCTTTGAGATTTTCTAACTGTCCCTCCTGTACCTTGCAAATTATTTTTTAAACTGTATTGCTCTGATTTTCTTTTCATTACTGTTACCTAACAGCTTTCTGGCAATTTCCCTTTAGATACTGGTGATGCTAGTTTAAGGATCATAACAGTTCTTTAACATTTCTACAATAACTTTTGACTTTCAAAATTCACGCAGAAGTCTCTTCTCTTTCAATTCTTTGAGTTGCTCAAAACCAGATACTCACATTCACTCTACTTCAGCCATTCCCTTCCAAAGCTATTCCCAAACTTCACCAATAACATGGAAAACCAAAACCTCAGTAATCTTCATCAGAGTCACTCTTCACGCTCCTCCTCTTACCCATGTCTGAACTTCTCTAATACGCCTGATCCGCTTTGCTGGGCCAGCCAAACCCTAACCCAACCAGCCTCACTTTGGCTTTGTTAGGCTGTACTTATACGTCACATTCTCATATTTAATACTTTCATTCATTTTGTGCGTCTCTCTCTCTTCTTGTGACAAGTTTACTTGTACAACAACAAGAACGAGAACTCACAATGGACCTTATCACATTTTTCTCCTGTATTTGTGCCTGAGAAGAAGAAAAACATTCCCAGGGAAACTCTCTCAAATATACTAATTGATTTTATTTTAAACCAATGATTTGCACCGGGTGCAGTGGCGCACACCTCTATGCCCAGCACTCGGGGGAGGCTGAGGCAGGAGGATCATTGTGAGTTCCTGACCAGCCTGGGCTATAAAGTGAGCTCAAGACCAGCCTGAACTGCATAGCAAGACCTTGTCTCAAATAAAAAAAAAAAAAGGCAATGATTTTCAACTTCAAAACCACATAGGAAGCCCCGTTTGCTTTCTTGTAGAGGCTCACTTTCTGAGACAAGACGGCAGTTCTACTCACTCACCTATTCAGTGAATGTTTACTGGGTATTTACTGTATGACACTCTTCTGCTCCCTTGGGAATTATTAGTAAACAAAGGAGATGAAGACATTCTACCCTTGTGGAGCTTATACTCTATTAGGAACAAAACACAATGAAATAATAAGTAAAATATAAGCTAAATTGTGATAGGTGCAATAAAAATTAGAAATAATATGAAATAGTATTATAATAGAAATAATATGAAATAATATTATTAATAGAAACAATAGTAGAAATAATATGAATCTTAGGGGAGTATATTCTTCCAGAGGAAATTATCTTTGCCTCCTCCAAACACCTTGTGCTTTCCTAGGCCACCTGGATGGTAAGAAGGCCACAGGTGCTGGGTGATTACATTTTGAATAGGTGCGTGTAGATAAGATGACTTTTGAACACAGAATTAAAAGAGCTGAGGGAGTTGGCTCTGTGATAAAGAGTGTTCCCACAGGAGAAAATAAAATTTCCTGTGAGGACTCCCACCCTTGAGAACTGCGGACAGGGAATTCAAAGCAGTCCTTCCATGAGGGGCGTTCAAAAGTAGAGCAAAATATTAAAAATATTTTATCAAAGGTATCAGTGAGCTTAAAGAAGAGGGAACAATTACTGGGCAAAATGAAAACAAGGCAGGAATCTGAAGAGAGAGCTAGAAGTCTGAGCCCTGGAGACATTCACAAGCAGTGATGGGCTGTGTGAAAACTTGTTCTTCTGAGTTGATATCTCAGATGTACGGGGAGATAAACGTGAGATACCAGAACAGGACCTGCCAAGACTATATTGAGGCTTGAAAGTAGGAATGATCCAAAAGATTCCAATTAGTATTCAGCCTGGCCTCAAGTTATTTGGAGATGTCTAGAAAATATAATCTCAAGGCCTTAAATTAAGGCAATGCTTCTTTGCAAGGGTTCCAGTATCTGACAGAGCAAAGGAAAGACTCATATAATATCACCTGAGGTCTTGAATAATTCCTATAAATGAATTTTCACATAGAGTACCTAGCACACAATCAGATTCCAGTGCAAAAAGAGATAGGACAAAATGTAAATGAGGATGAGCAGGAATAATAAACAAAGCAGGGAAGACTGAGAGTCCAGAAATTTGTTTTCTCAGAATCAGGCAGATAAATAGTCACACTTAACCATGTTGTTTGGAAGATAAAAGTTAAGCTTGCAAATTTTCATAAAATGTAATAAAATTATTTGGAAAAGGACTACACAAATATGCTAGTTTGGTCCCTGCAAAGCACAGCACACAGGCCGCTCGGGGCTGAAGCAGAGTTAAGAGTCAGAGAACAAATCATGGACGTGTGGAGGGCCCGATGTGAAGACCTCTTAGGACCGTGAGCACAGGGCTTCTCTTCTGATGGAAATGTGTGCGCACTGCTGGTGTCGGGAGGAGGAGGGTCACAACTGGACTCATTCTTTAACAGAGCTCTCGGGTCTGCTTAAAGTAGGGTTCAGCAAAGACACAGGGAAGGAGCTACTGGGCTATCCAGTGAAACAGGATGAGGGTGCGGCAGTGCAGTCGGTGTGAAATAATCACCTTCTACATATACTTTGAAGTCACAGCAACAAGATTTCTAAAAGAAGAGATGTGGGATTTGAGAGAAAGAGAAGAATAAAATTGTCAGAAAGATTCTGTGTTAAGCAAATGAAAGATTGCTCTTCTATCAGGGATATGGGAAGGGAGTATATGGAGTCATTTTTGCCAGAGTAAATCAAGATTTTACCTTTATATGCACTGAATCTGTCACATGTTATACATCTAGACAGAAAGAAAGACTGGGTGGTGGGAGCCTGGCACTTAGGAGAGAATTCTGAGTTAAAGATAAACATTTGAAAGTTGTTGGCATATAACTGGTTTTCAAAACATGAGAGTGTGTGAGAATACCAACGGGATAAATACAGAGAGAACGGAGAAGTCTAAGTCCTGACCCAACATTAGCAGATTAGGAAGAAGACAGTGAAGCATCCAAGATGACTAAGACGTAATAATGAAAAGTGTGAACATCGTGTTCTCTGTTCTCCATCACAGCTTCTGCTGACTCTGCCCTGAGCCTTCCTACAGGCACTGGAAGACAAGAGAGAAAGCAGAGCTGCAGGGAAAGCACAGGTAAGGGTCACCGTGGCAGGCGGTCACATGCTGGGGCACATGCTCCTCCTACTCTGGAAAAAGTAAATAAACCTCACTGACACTGGCAAATCCTAGGACCCAGGTTTCCTATCTGCCACTTCAGGCACCAGACACACCTGCAGCCCAGTTAGCTGACATGCCTAGAGAAATCTGAGTTTCCGCAGAAAAAGAATAAACTCACTGAAAAATGTGAAAGAAAACAACTGCACAACATCCTGTCCCTCAGTGTTTACCTAAGAGAAGTAAACACATACATTCACCCCAAATCTTATTCACAAACCTTTTTAGTATCTGTATCAGGTTCAAATTAGAACTAACCCAATCTTACAGGAACTGGTGAGCAGATAAAGAATGGCATAGTAAACAAGATGCTCTACTGATACCAGAAACAGCATTACCAAATGCCTTCCACATGGCATAGGCTCAAAAGACTGCTGACTATCGGGTTCTGCTTATGTTTTTCTTGAAAGACAAATATGTAGGGAGAAGAAATAGATGGCTGTCAAGTACTTGGAGTAAAGGCGGATACACCACCCCTGACAGCAGAAGCCAGCACTCTCATCTACCGTAAGTTAACATGAGGGCTACCTAAGTGTCTATACAAAAATCAGAGATCTCTTTGTTTTTGTTAAGGGTGTTTCATGAGTGCTTTCTAAGGTTTGTAACTATTGTCAAGGTGAAATAGTTGTTGCCCTCAACTGGTTTTCTCTGTATGCCAATATCTGGATTGCCTGGGGCCATAAACAACACTGTAACCCATTCTCCAAGAGCCAGGCTCTGGGTCAAAGAAGCTGCACCCAGTAGCCAGCCATGGCAAAGGGCTGACTCCACAACAAAGCCACATCACAGTCACCAGCACACCCCAGGACAGAAAACAAACAAAAACCACAGAAACATGAGAAGACAAGGCAGCAAAATACCTTAAAAACCCCCACTCCCCCAAAGCTTTTCCAAGGAGCACTGAGGAAAAGGCAATCACAGGCCACATAGCAGAAATAACTGAAAGGATATCGGTGTAGGTAATAAAACAGTTCAATAAGGTATTTGGCAAATTCAAAGAAGATGTAACTGAACAGATAATGATTGTAATGAAAAAATGATCAGCAAATCCAAACAAGACACTAACAAAAATCTAAGGAGCTAAGGAAAGAGATGCAAAACATGAAGGTCAGCATGAAAAAGGAAGGAGTCCATAAAAAAACTCCCAACAGAAACCCAGGAGATTAAAACTACAACTGAAAGTATGGGGAGCAGAAGGGAGGACAGAGTGTCAAGTCCAGAACACAGGAGTGTGGCTAGCAACCAGTTACTGAGAGATACTTTAAAAACAACAGAGAACATGAAAAATGGACCCAGCAGCTGCCAGACTGCTCAAAGGAGACTCAGGTAAGAATACTGGAATGAATGAAATAGCAGAAGACATCTCAAAGGGCATGTTTACAGAAGTAATGGCAAAAAATTTTCCAGACTTGGAGAAAGAATTTACCGTACACATAAGTGAGACATACGGAATCTCAAATAGCCATGATCAGAAAAAAAAATTACACACCACATCGTAATTAAAATACCAGAAATCCAACAAAAGAACAGAATTTTAAAAACTGTTAGAAAAATGGAACAAATTACCTATAAAGAAGAACTCATTAGAATTACAGCAGACTTCTCAACACAAAACTTTAAGGCAAGGAGAGCTTGCAATGAAGTGTTTCAAGCCCTAAAGGAAAACAACTTCCAAACCACGCTGATATATCCTGCGAAATTATATTTCAAAATTGAAGGAAAAATAAGGTATTTCCGTGACAAAGAGCACCTAAAGAAATTCATGATCACCAAACCAATACTGCAA